AAAAGCCACCAAAGAAATACATTCAACTCTCAACTCCTCATTTGTTCCAGGTTCCAGGGACAGCATTATGGAGGTGTGGAGGAATGGCTCTTTAAAGCATCGTCTGAACCTACCCGAGCAACACAAAGGCTCTGCAGCAACATTCAGCGCTGTACTGCTGTTACCTGAGGTAAGACACACACACACACACACACACACACACGACATTATATCCTATGAGGACAATTGTTTGGAAATCTGGACGATTTGAAAGTCGACCAGCATCTTTGTCTGTGTGTGTGTGTGCGCGTGTGTGTGTGTGTGTGTGTGTGTGTGTGTGTGTGTGTGTGTGTGTGTGTGTGTGTGTGTGTGTGTGTGTGTCAGAGGGAGGAGGTGTGGAGCATATGCGTTGATTCTGGAGACGTATGCATTTGGCCCACGAAAGACGCGTCGAAGCCCTACCACCGAGTGGCACTACAGGACTGCACTGGATGTCACTGCATGATTAAAGTGAAAAACCAGGTTGACACTCGCTTAATGCTTCAATTTGGGCAACGTTTACTGCAAAAACCGGTGACGCACTGATGTCAAAGCACACACACTGCTTTGTTTGTGCTGGTAAAAGTATATCAAGGAAGTTTTTCAACAAAAAGCATTCTTTTTCAAGAGCATCTCATAAACAGCTGTTTGAACCTGCTGGTGTCACTGGAGAAAACTCATTCCCTGACCTCAAACCTATTGAGAGCCTGTCATCCACTTTAGAAGATGTATCACAAAGTGGCTTCCCTCCGTAGGTGTGGGTCGGCGGAGTCGGACGCTCCTCCAGCAAAGGGAAGGTCTACATATTGGATGCGCAGCGGCGCCAGGTCCTCAAGGAGCTACACGGCCACAGTGACAAGGTGACGACGCTGTGCTCGGCCGAGGACCGCTACGTCCTCAGCGGCGCCGCCCAGCACGATGGGAAGATTGCCATCTGGAAGGTGGAGTAGGAAGTGTTGTTTAAAAATCATTGGATCCTCACATGATTCCTTTCACTTGCCCACACGTGTGTCGGAAAAATGGAGACTGACGCAGAAAAGCGGTTTCAGCGTCGACCTTATTCCCTCAGTATCAACAGTAGTATTATGTGGAGGCTTTTGTAAGTAAGCCAGGCCTGGCCTCCAGCTGTGAATTCATACAATTTAGTGGAACTTTTTATTCCGCCCGTGAGTTTTGCACGAGTGACACCTCTTTGCCAAAGTGGTCATGAAAGAATGGTAAAAGACACAATAACCCTCGGTTTAACCCAGCATGAGCTTACACAAGTTATTTACCAGTTATATGTACCATAATATTTCACTTTGTTGCTGCCTTTTAGCAGGCATTTTTTCCAACTCTTTTTCAGTCTTCAGTCTTACCTGTTTTTATATAAAAAACACTAACATGGAATTGGCACACTAATTTCACCCAGTAATTGGACAGCTTTGGGGATAGAATGGGAGTTGAAACAGAGGCTTCGAAATGCAGGCATTTGTCCAAATTTTCCTCATGTTGCTATTCTGTGTAAATTGCATGGAATGCAGCGGCAAAAAAAAAAAAAAAAATTGACCTGCACTGGATCATTTTATGCCTTTGAAGATATCGGAGCTGTAACAATCGCTAGATCTGTCATTTTGCCATCTTGTTTTCCCTGGATCAAAATTGACCTTGCAATTTTACACCAACATTTTTCTGACTTTTTTTCCACGTCACTTTTCTGTGTAAATGGATGGCACCATTCATCCATGAAATGCAAGAATGGATTTGACTGCAATTTTCAGCCATGAGAGGTCATCTCAGAGTCCAAACAAATACATGTAAAATCAGGTATTTTTTTATCTTGTTGCTTTTCTTGAAATGGCACCAACACGGAATGACGGGGACACCTTCGAATGAATTCCGCAATGCCGGGAAGCAAGTGTGAAGTTGAAAACTCACCAAGCACTTCTACTGCCTGCTTGTGTTAAAAGCAACTCTCACAGTCACACGCACCTGCATTTTTTTTTCTTTTTTTTTCCACCTGTTATTGGAATAATCCTGCCTTTGCGAGGTTCTGTGTAAAATGCAGGTGGTCTTCTTAAAGCTCCAATACAGCAATTGTGCGGGAGTCTGTACGATTGCTGCTTTAGCCATATTGTACCGAATAGCCCAGACAAAGCCTTGCAGTTGAAAAAGTACAATTTCAGAGAAATTGCATGGTCCTCATGACACTTTTTCTTTTCACCATCATTGTATAAAGTTCGGCTTTTATTAAAATTCACCTCACTTCTGTTTTAAAGAACAAACGTGGAATGGTATGGATGAATTTGACCCCACGGAGGTCGTGTCAGGGTTGTGTGTGAACGGCAAAATCAGATGTGTCGTTTTTGAGGGATCTTCAATCCCTTACTTTTATGAAGGAAATCAAATGAACCAAATAAAAACAAATAAGAAAAATCATTTTACGGTCATATGCCTCAAACATATTTATACCTCACTATTTAATCCGTACTGGAGATCAATTGGCATTTTTTTTTTATCGTGTTTGTTTTTCTATTGCAATCTAAATGGCACTTTCTGCTGCGGCGGAAGAAATTTAACACATGCTGCTGTTGGATGGAATGTGATGCTTTGTATGAAAGTGTACAAAACACTTGAGATTTTTAACAGTAAACGCTTAATGTGCAATGTCAACACTCGTGCATTTGTTGTTTGTCCACCACATTCGGTTGCCACTTTGTACCACAGGACGGCGCTGTTGATGCTTCTAAGTGGGCACAAAAAGTGACAAGTTCCTGCTGGAGAAAACCTTGTATTCTGGCCAAAGAAGTTTTTATCTATGTTTGCCGTTTTCTTCATGATAAAGTGTAGTATTAGGTTTTTTTTTCTTTTTGATAATACACGTTCAAATGATTGAAATGCAGGATCTATTTTAACTGTATTGCCTCTGCGTAATCTTCACCTATGACTTGGCAGCTTCGTTGGGTGAAGATTTGTCATTTTTGAGCAACTGCTGGACTCCACTTTCTGCAAGGTAAGCAGATCTGCATTGAGTTTTATTGGCTTTTCAGATTAGTATTAGCTCACAGCAAGTTTCTCGATTGCTCGGTCAAGTTGTCAACATGGTTGGAGTAGGTTTTGTTGTGTTTGTTTGCCGCATGTTGACAAGTGAAAATACATTTGATTCTGAGTGCTCATGCCCCCCCACCCCCTGCACACACAGCAGTTGCTGTTTGATGAAAGTATGTCACAGACGTTAATCAGACACCTGTGGATCTGCTTTAAATTGTAAAGAAAAATGCACATTTTGTCCCTTTTTAGGACACAAAACCCCCTTGATGTTTTTCTATACATTGGATCATTATTGCACTGCATGACACCACCAGAAGCAATGAAATCCCACACCCCTTCGCTGGTCTGGTAAGATAAGCGGGGTTTCTGTTTCCCCTGCGACTCTCAAATCCGTTCCCATTAATCTACAGGGCATTACTCACATGAGGGGAAGCACAGGTTTACGGTAAGTGCAAGCACACTGTTGCAGTGTTTGAGCACCATGGAGGGAAAAAAAAGACTACCTCGACAACGGCTTGCTCTGTTCCATGACACAAGTAACTTATATTCAGCAAAAGAAATGATAACCTGCAGGAGAAAGGAGTTCATTCCAACAATATGTCAATTGTGCACTGTTGCTATTGGTACGAAATGTTGCCTGCACTCACTTGACTTTACATAGCAGAGGCCCTCTACACAGAATTGTGAAATAATTTTTTCCCACCCCGAAATATTTGCATTATAGGTGCAGCAAGAACCTGTTCTGTGGTCGTAAAATCAGCTGATAGCATCAACAATCGCCCACAAAATCAATTCTAGTGAAGTTGGAGTTACATACATAAAAACACAATGATTTGCAAATCAGGTTCAAACTAAATTTAATTGAATGTACTACAAAGACAAGATATTTAATGTTCAAACTGATCAAGTTTATTGTTTTTGACAGCTGGGACAGGTCGTTAAAAAAAAAAACAACTTGTTTTGCCATGATTGGGTATAAAGGGAGCTTCCCTGAATCGCTCAGTCATTCATGAGCAAAGATGGGGTGAGGTTCACTTCTTTGTGAACAACTTTGTGGGGAAAATAGTCACCAGTTTAAGGACGATGTTACTCGGTGCACAATTGCAAGGAATTTAGGGATGGCATCATCTACAGTCTTAGGGAGTTAATTGGAATTGGGTTTGTAATCGGCCTGATGCTTACTCAATTTGCAACATGATGCAGAGAGAAGTTGGTCGAATACGGCCCATTTGTCCTCACATCATCAAAAGTGGCAGTTTGTTGGATTCATTAAGCCGTAAATTGCTGAATTAAAATTGATTTTTTTGGTTAATTTAGTTAGTCAAATAGCTGGTTACTATAAAAAAACAACAACAATCCCTGAGTACTGTGACTAATAATGCAGTGTCCCAAATGTGCACACTCTCATGATATAACTTGGAGGTGGCTTTCTTCAGACTTAACCAATTGTGAAAGTTAAGTTTGTACAAACTTGCCACCATTATGTGCCAAATACCACTGATTAACACAGAATAAAGCTCCGTTGTTCTAGTAAGCTTTCCCTGACATGTATTGCTTTCTAGCAGAAGCTTGAAGACTGCGCTTACACAGACAGGTATTTGGAAATGCTGATTATGCTCATTGTTTTAGCAAAGCCCTACAGATTGTAAACATTAGAATACCTCTCAACGGAATGCAGACCTACTACAAGGACGAACGGATCACATATGCAAACAATTCACAGCACTGTACTTTACATTTGTCTTTTTCTCCGTCTGTTGTTAGTCAGCAGGCTGCTATGTAGGGAACAGACGGAGGAGTTAAAAAGGACATTTCACTCGTTATGTGCCTGTAAAGATTAATATATACAGACAGATAAATGATATTTTCTCAGTTTGGTTGCTAATGTGTATTAATATTTGTCATATAACTTGGTTTTGGTCGCTAAAACACTCGAGTTAAAAACTATGCTCGTTTGTGTTCCTCCACCAGCAGGCAGTAGGCCCCGCCCTGTTTTATGCAAAGCACCCATGACGTCGACGGAAGGCAGCGCGACGTATGCTTCTTCCGACGTTACTTTAAAGGCGCTTTTGAGACCTCGCCGTTGCAGTCCTGAGTCGCGGCCGGTCGGAACCTTCGTGACCGAAGTGCGTAGCAGTGGAGCTCGGCCGACTCACGGACACCACGGCGGAGACGGCGGCTTGACACGACCCGGCGTGGTGAGTCCGGTGTCCGGGCTCGGTGAAGCCAGTCGATCCGCGGGGCAGCGTGGAGTCAGAAGAGTTGCGGCGTGGGGGGGGGGGTGTTATGAAGCATTTTTGTGGTCGCCTCTGCTGAGCCTCCTGCCGGCGGCTGCAGCATCTCAGGTTGCTGGTGCAGTGGGCGGAGGAAGGATGGAGGGGCGAGTGAGGAGAATTGACTGTTGGGAAAACATTTACAACGAGACAGACAGATTTGACCTTTACTGTCTTTAATGACATTGAACTAAAAAAAGATTAGCTGTGTCATTAGCCTCATTCGCCGCCTCTTCATTAGCAACTTAACCACATAAGTGACAGGTAGAAACAATACAGTGTTGTTTTTACATGTAGATAGGTGTTAATAGTGGACATTTCAAGGTGACTCGTTGCATTTTTGATGTGCTTTTCGTGCGTGTACGTGCGTGTCATGCTACGATAGTTAATTGGCTGCAGAGAATCGATGTTTGCGTGTTTGCAAATGGTGAAGTGTTAGTGTGCCAACTTCTCTATTACAGTGACTGCAGTGCACAAGGTTGGCAGTCTTGTGTTATCTGTTTGTTGTCTCACTTCCTTTCGTGTGTGTTTGCGTGCAGGTCCACGACGGCAGCTTGCATGAAACGACATTTATGAAGCTTTCAAACCCTTTTTGGTGAGTTGTCTTATTTATTGTCTGCTATATTTCTGCAAAAAAAAAGTAGCTTGTGGGTGCTCATATTTACGCAACTGGCAATGGGATGAATCATTTTTATTGTATCAAACATTAATACAGGTGTAATGCAAGTGAAACCATTCCTTAAAAACAATACAATACAATACAATAGGCCTCCTTCACCTCAGAGAGAGAGAGAGAGAGATCTGTGATTTTTTTTTTTAATTAAAACTTTAGATAAATGTTATCCTTTTTTTCAACTTTACAACAGGTCACAATAGGCAGGTTAGGTGGATGATTCATCAGGAGACCATTTTGCGGGAACTCTGGTCTCAATGTACAAGCACACATGTACACTGCTTTCCATTCATGTCGTTGGTCAGCAGACTAAGAATACGAGGTTGTCAAGAAAGCGGCTACAAATGACTCTTTCCCGTGCTGCACAAACCACAAACATGAGGACCAGAACAATACTGAATAGATCCACTCAACAAGGCTCTTGAAAATACGGCCTTGTTGGGCCCAGACAGGGTCCGAATGAATCCGACAGCATCTGCACTCGTCTCACTCGGATTCCACGTTCATGCGCTTTTGCGGTTTTCGCTTGCAGATGGCTGCAAGCTGAAGTGGGAGCAATCCACTTCCTCTTAATGAAATATTTGCTGACTGTCAACTGCTGCTTAGTCAGCACATCGACGTAGTGACAAGCAGCCTGATGCATCCCGGCACAAGTTGTCACATGCGCGCACACGCTCGTGTGCACAAATGCAACGGCAAGAAAGTATTCGGCGCACTTGTAAACAAGTTGTTTACATGCTTTGCTTCGTGTTCTTTCATTATCTGCAAAAAGCAGATGACATGAACGTCGGAATTTCAAACTGCAAGTTCCAACATGTGTTCCGTGACGGTGGACAACCACCCCATATTGTACGCATTAACAATTGAGATAAATCACATTCATGTCATCCATACATTTTGCCGGGATTATGTCAGTACAAAGTTCAGAGTAAAAGAAATGTCATCTGGCAGGAATTGTGAGGAAAAAAAAAAAGTCACAATCTTGTACTGTATAACAAAAGTCGAAAAGTTGTATAATGAGAATTCCTTTTTGGAATGTCAGAATATTAAGCAACATTTCTTTTAACATGTTCAAAAAAAAATTGCAACAAGAAAATTACAGACAAACATCTGGTGACTGTTTGGCGAACATTTGCGACTTTGAACAAACCAATGACAAATCCTGACAAAATCCGCTGCCTTCGAAAACGCTCACCGTTGTTCGCCGCTCGGTGAGATAGGGGTTTACTCAGAAAAGACCAGACAAGGATGACAAAAATGATCGAAGCTCAAAGTGAAGAACATCGGCGATACCACTGAAAAGTGATGACTATTGAATTTGAAGTTATATCGGAATCGTCAAATGGTATTTTTGATTGTGAAGGTTGTTGTCGCCCTTACTTGAAGCGAACCCAAACAACCACGCGGAAGCACACCAAACTGAATTCCAAGGGATTTGTTGACAAAAATGACCAACAGTCAGTACCAGTTCTGGCTCAGGTCATGTTCAGGGTAGAAAAACAGGAAGTGGCATCCTACCCGAATTTCAACCCGTAACCAGCACTTCCGTTGAGTCATCCACATGACTATTGGCTGTCATCTCCGACTCTCGTGACACCGAAACGATTAGCACTGGACAAAAGTCCGCTTCCTTGAAACTTCTTCTTCTTGTCTTAACGCCATCTTGAAAATAAATTGACCAATTATCCCTTGCTGGTTGAAAATAGTGTCAGCATTTAAGGCCAACTCATTTGAGGACCTTTTGAGGTCTTTGAAAATGGATGTCCCACTGGATTTAATGGTCGTTGGTTAGACTAGACTGAAATAAAGAACGCGCACACACCCATGCATGCATGCACACACGCACACACACACACTCTGCAGTGCTGATCTAGTGCGGAAGATAATCTATAACCAACTGGTGGTAAATTGTTGTGCACAAACCTGTATGAGGCTGGAAAGAAAGGTGTGTTTGGGTGTGTGTGTCTCGTCTCTCTCTCACTTGCATCAACACCATCTATAGGCCTCCAATCTCCTTTACATCTCTCTCTCTCTCTCTCTCTCTCTCTCTCTCTCTCTCTCTCTCTCTCTCTCTCTCTCTCTCTCTCTCTCACACACACACATACACAGTGGTGGCTATAAAAGAAGTCGCGTGAATCCTGCTGGAGTCAAAAGGCTTGAGCTACTGAGGATTAAACAGGTCCTTGTGCCTTTTTTTTTTTTTTTTCTTAAATGCATTTTTGTGGACTCAGCAGGCAAAAACTGATGTGATCCGAGTAAAGGTCAGTTAACAAGTACAAGATTCCTGGAGGCCTTTTTAACTTGCATGTGGATGCTAGAGTGTGTTGTGTTTTGTTTGTTGTTTTGATTTTTACTGTTTGGCGCATTGATACCAAAGTGTGTCACAATCAATATGTCTTCTGGAAATGGTCTGTGGTTGTTTTAACTGCACAGGCAGTAGCTTAAGTTGCATATTTTTACTGTCATGCTTGAATTGTTTCTTCAGGTCAGTATTTTTAATCTGAGCCTTAAAGCATTTAATAAAGAGTCCTGTTAATAGTTGTCACATTAATTTTCCCTGTAAATTTTCCCGTAAACTTGGTTAATTGAAATGCATTTGTTCATTATAGAGATCTTTTAAAATGAATTTTAAAAAAGCGATTGGCCAATTTAATTTATTGTAAAGGATCATATATTGTGGGGGTAAAATGACCATTTTTACATCTGCATATCAATGTTTTATTTTCTTAAATTGGTTAAATAATCACAAATGAATCATAAATTGTACAATAAAAGTAAAAAAAAAAACAGATTCATCCAATCGCATAATGCAGCGCCTAGTTACGTTAAAATCGGTGGTGGACTTCTCATTATTGTTGAAGTCGTATTGTATGTAGCAGCGTGGACAGACGTGTGTATTGGGTTAGCAAACGCCGACTGAGATGCGGACGGTGAGGGCACAGTGTCAAGTGAACAGGGTGTGACGCACACTAATGGAGTTAATCATTTAGATGCTGATTTTTTTTTTTTTTTAATTGTTGACCTTGTTATGCTGTACTGACTTTCATCACCACGCTAATATTATTTTATGCAAAGAAAAGCGAAGGGAAAAAACACACCTGTGGAGTTGATCCATGCAATGTTTTTTTTGGGGGGGTGTTACACAATTACAAAATAAAAACCTTCTGTTAATAAAAAATGTTTTTCTTTATTTGGTCAAAATACAAAGGATAAAGGATACCCCCACCCCCGCCCACCCCTTAGGAAAGAAGTAAAAGCATTATTCACTTCGGGAGGCAACACTTCCTCGCCATGCCTCCAAATTACGCTTGTCAATTATCGTAGTATAGCAGATTGGTGCATGTGGTGCATGCAGTGGATTGATTGGCGAACACATTCCTCTTAACTCACATAGACAACTTCACTGACCGTTCCAGTCATTCAGTTGAGTTGTCAGTTATCGGAAGATAACACTGACAACGCTGTTAGCTCACGCTAACCCGTGCTAACACCGCAGCTCTGCTTAGCGTTTGGGTTTAGCATGATAATTTCAGTGTCGTCTGTCACCCAGAGAATAAAACGGCTGTTTCGCCAGTCTCGCGACCAAGTCATGGGCGGAGAAACTGCATTGGGACAGTTAGCAGGCCGATTTGCCCCATTTTTAGAAATATACAGTCAACAACAGATTTACTTGGTTGTTGCTTGGTTTTACACTTGAAGGCTCGGCAGGTATTCCAGAGAACCCCAATATTTGTAAATGCAATTAAAATGTATTTTTTCCCTTGAAGAAAATAGGAAAAAAATGCTTATCTTCTGAAGCACGTTGCACAAAAAACACATTTCTACAGAAAACAAATCAAAGTATCACCAGTGTTCTGTGCACAATAAGCCTTGAACTGATGTCATTGAATCACCAAGCATCCGCAGATCTTTATCTGGACCACCACCAACATTTTGTGCTTCGACCAGTTTTGTGGAAATCATTTTCACACAAAAAAAAATAAAAAAGACCCCTGACTTCTACTGTTTTTCCAGCACAAATTTGATTCAAACAACAATGTCTTAAACCAAGCCTGCAAGGTGCAAAATCCTGTTTTTAGGCGTCTTATGAACACAAAGCTGTTTTGATTGGAACCAGTTTGAAAGTATGCAAACATTTGTGGTAGTGAATAGCGTTTTGTTTGGGCTTGTTATACAGTACTGGCCATATTCCATGACGTAGTTTCCAATTGTACGGATGTTGAAGTTGAGGTTGAACTTCAAGGCGTTGAAACTTTAAGCCAATTTGGGTGTTTGGTGGAATCAATGGGTTGCTTGTGGCTCTTGTATTTATTTATTTTTAAGGCCAAGATGGCCGCTTTTTGGGCCAGATGACTGAACTATCTCCGTGGTCGCGTCCATGAAATTAATTGATTGCAGAACTGGGTCAATTGTGTATATATGTGAATTCTTTGAGCTCCTAATTTTTTTTAACCATCTTCTGTTTCACAGATTTGTTTCAGTTTAATATGTTTTGGTACAGTTTGGTTTTGGTTAGATTTGGACATGTTTGCCTTGGATTCTTTCAGTCCCTCGATAAGCTTGCCATTAATTAGTTAGCAGCCGCTATCATGAGCCCAGTGCAAATCTGGCTACCCTGTGAGAGACTTTTGTAGGTTAATTCTGGTTTCCGATGACCCTGCTGCTAGTGCCCCCCCCCCCCCATCCCCACCTGCCTTAAAGGCCTTATGAATCATGCATGCTGGAAACAAGGACTGTAACCATTTTGTTACTTTGTGCTGTAAAGAATGACATACAGAGTGACACTGTCCAAATACAAATGCTAATAATAGTGCTATCTACCATTTAGTGTTCAGCTATGAGTAGTTAACACTTACTATCCGCACCTGCTAGTATGAAGTGTTGATTGACTTTAATAAACTAATGTTTGCATTACAAGCCCC